TATATATATATATGCTCTGAACACTAGGAAGCTTTCTGAGAAGTGTAACAAGTGAAATTAGACAGGGTTGTCACCCTTTATGGAAGGAGAGGTGTATCATGGTTGAGCTCATACAGACCCGCAGAGCTGTCAAGTGCGGGACTGGGGACTGTTGCTGCATACTGGCTTAGACAAACCTTAAGCAAAGTCAGCCCATGTCACATCACCAAAGCTGGACTGGGAGCAGGCTGCAATATTCCTCTATAGAAAACATTATTGTAAGGAATCAGATTCATATTCCCTACCTGTTTCTGCCAGAGTTGCTCATGCCCCAAATAAAAGGAGTATCTGACTGCTCCAGCAACTCTGCAAAAGGGAAGAGATGTTGTGGCTCAGAACCAAAACTCCAGCAACCATCATCAGATCAGGAATCTCTGTCGTATTTCTACGTGTTCAAAAGGGAGTAAAGGTTGATCTAATGATGAATGTGTCTGCTTCGCTGTCGTTTAACTGAAGAACATAAAAATTAGCATGTTTCCATTATCATCACTGCACATAAGGTATAAAAGCTTATGTGAGAAGGAGCAGAGATTTGGAAATATATCTCCATGCCAGTTATGGCAGGCATGCTGAATAGTTCTCTATAACAACAAAAGCCTTCTGGGTGAAGAGATGCATGCTTTTAGGAATGAGCATAAGCAAGGTGTCCTACAAGTGAGACTTAAGTGAACAGCATCTCTGGTTTCACACTGTCACAAGTAGAGTTGAAGGACAGGACCAAGGAGAAGGCAGTGGTGTGGCAGATGGGGAAGTTCCTCACCTGCTTCCCAGTCTTCATTACATGGAGGTGCCTGCCAGGTGCTTGCAGCATTCATATGGTCTCTCTGGAAGCTAGAGGACTGATTCACTTCAGGAAGAGAGAAAACTCAGTGACTAGCAGTCAGTTGTGCTTCAGAGGCATTAAACACTTTGGATTAAGTTGTAAAACATCTCTTGGCTTTAGACTCAAGTTTTTCCAAGGCTGCTGTGCCACACAAAACTACAGACAATAATTTGACTTGCACTTTTTGGTTATTCTATGAGCTGTCCTTACAAACAAGAGACCATAGTCCCCAGGATGACCAAACTCCTCTAAGCTTGTGTGGTTCTCTTACCTATATCTTGTTCAATGAACCCTCTGTCACTGCACTTCGTTATATGGTCGCTGAGTTCAGCTCGAGGAACTAGATGGCGAGCGTTGAAGGGGCACGTGGCCAATTCCTCTGCAACTTTAGGGTAGCTCTAGACAAGGGAAAACCAAAATCATGTACCATATCTCTCAAGTTCATTTATCTCCTACTAATCCATAGAAAAAACCCTCAAAGATATTTGTGATGTTGCTTTAAAGTAAAAAAAACAAAAAGACTAAACAAGGAAGGGGGAACTAACATGACTGTTCTTTAAAACATAATTCACTGAGAAACTGGGCCACCCTTGAGCTGACTGAAATGAAACATATCCTCAGCTAAACTTCCTCCAGTTTGCTGCAGTGCTGGCAATATGTCTGCATGGTTTAAAGTACAGATGAAACTGTTTTCATAACAGTAGGGAAGAGATGCTCTGCTGGCCAGGGAACAGGCCTTCACCTCAGGCAGATGAAGAAGCAGAAGTGCCTTGCACTGATGCTGCTCCAGGCAGTGCCTCCTCACTACCACCGATACGATACGTGACTACAGCACAGGCTGCAGGCACATCCACGGTGTTTGTCATTACCCAGCCTATACAGCCAGGGTTGCTGTGTCTTCATGTGTCCATCATTTGCTTCAATTAGTTTAAGCAAGCTATTCTGGCCACGTAGAAGCAGCTTTTCAATGCTAATGCAGTTCAAGCTGAAAGGATTCAACATGCTCTGCTTGGAGTGTCCCCATTTGTGTCGCAGGGCTGCATTCTGCATAAGCAATGGGAAGCTGAGGCAGATGGAAGCATCTAATTAGATTTTATGCATGGAGTATACAAAGGAAATTCAACAAACTACCAAGCAAGAAGGACAATCTCCACCCAGACGCTTGCCACTACAAATAAAATAGTAGCATCTTCAGATGGATCAGCTGAGCCCTTCTTCTGCTAATTACTTAGACACCAATTGTGTCCGACTGGTGACCACTATCTCACCTCATTCTCCTAACTAGCTAAGCTTGACAAAACTGTCTGCTCAGCAGTTATGCAACACAAGGACAAACCCAACATGGTTCAAAGTTTCCTTGCCAACATTGTTCACCTAGCTCACAAGCACATTCCTGCCAAAATCTTCAGGGGGTCAACAAGGAAAATTTCAGCCCCCTTTAATGTTGGAATGATGGAGGTACTTGCCACTTAGCTCTGTCCCTCGCTTTCACTAGTTACTTAATACTTTTCAAGGGTCTAGTTTCACCAAAATGAATTTTTATAAGTATTGATACCAGGACACCCCCCCCAACAACTACACCTTAACTGGAAGGCACAGCACTGTTATACCATTTTAAAAGCACACTGTCAAATCCATTGGTAAACTTAAAGAGGAACACTTGGGTTTTAAAAGGTATCGGCAAAACCTCATGCTCAGTCAGATGCCAGCACTTGCAGGTTTAAAGCAAAGAAACCATGAGGACAACAGATGAGAAGAGAGGAAGGAATGTTTCCTATTAAATGATTTGCATTTAAACTCTGGATAAAAGATGGGGAGGGGAAAAAGCCCTCTCCCTATGTGCTACGCTCAGGAAGTAGTTTTTGACAGATGCTCTTTAATAGCTATTAGCAAGACAAAAAAAATCCTAACCCTATTTGCAGCTACATTTCTAGCACTTCAAGAATGAATTCCAACATCACACCACTTCCACTTGGATGAGCCAGAAGCAGGGCACATAACTCTGACTGACTTCTCTCTTCAACTTAAAGAGGAAAAACGTATCTGACCTCCATGTGAGCTGCTGGAAGAGACCAGAGTTTCCTCCTTGACCTGACCATGAAGAATCTCTACCTCCTTTCAACAGAGCCACACTGGTCATGGGTGAATTAACACATGCTTGAAGCTATTACTAATCAAATAATAAAGTTATGAAATAAAGGCTAAATAAGACCATTTGCAGGAACTTGCAGCAGCCAGCAAGAAAATGCAGTAAGAATGAGAAGGTGCACGTCATATTTACAGGCACAGAATTACAGGTCTGGCAGTCCAGCTTACCTTCCTACACTTTACAATGTGATAGGGAAACCGAGAGGCTCTAATCCGATGATGTTTATTATATGGACATTGTACTAATCTCTCTGGATCCAAAACATCTAGTAAAATGGAAGAGAAAAAAAAATGGTTAGGAAGGAAAGATTCAGGGTCACTGACACAGCAAAGTGAGGAAAAAACATACCATCACCTCAGGGGTGTGATCTTAAGGAGTTAAACCGGTTGTTCTTAGTTCGAAATCATTCATTAAGGCAGGCACCTGTTTTGCATAACCAAATTCATTTTGAAGTTTCTGTGACTGGGATGTTAGTCAAAACAGACAGAGAACAGTCAGTAGCACCGAGCATAACAACTCTTTGAGTTACCATATTAGGTAGGTAACCACACTTAGTCAAAGTGAATGAAGACAGCACTACTTTTCCAGCTATCTTAGAGAAGAATCAGTAGGATGACGACATGCCCACCAGTGCCTCCTGGAGCATTGTCAGTCTGAAACAAATCTTTCTGGATCAACAGCTAGTTTTGCTGGATGAAGAATGCCCAGCAATTCAGTTTCATTTCCAAGGAAGGAGTGTGCCTAATGTGGTGCATGGAACTTGTAAAGGATTTCTTTCAGAAGTCATGCAGTCCCTCATTTAGGAGCTGAGATGTTACTAAAGCAGCTAAAATACCTAAGAACATAGACACTGAACAGTGAAGCAGCATGATTTCAGGCATACATGATACAGATGTTTATCTATCTCTAGAAAAAATACATTCATAGAACCATAGAATGATTTGAGACCTTAAAGTTCATCCAGTTCCAACCCCCTGCCACGGGCATGGACACCTTCCACTAGAGCAGGTTGCTCCAAACCCCTGTGTCCAACCTGGCCTTGAATACTTATATTAAAATACAAATATTAACATATCTATGGAAAGAACACATTTCCATGCTCTCAGTGAGGAAGAGGGGCAACCAGAAGGAAACACAGGTGCCCTGTGCTGCCTGTGGGTCTGCTTCTGGGGTACACACCAGGGAAACAGACCTGGCTTCTTCCATTGTTTCTACCCTGCCACTGTTTTTGCTCAGGCTTTTAGCACATTTAGGACTTGCTTACCTGATATCTTAAACACACCTAAGTATGGCCTGCTGCTGTTGAGCCTCTTCCCTGCCATCACCCCCCCCTTCTCTTACACATGCATTGGTGCTCAGTTGCCTCAACAGCCAGGTCAGGGAGCTGTATCAGCCCACAGGCCGACAGCTGCTTAAGATCATAAAGTGGTTTGTGTTGGAAGAGATCGTAAAGATCACCTAGTTCCAACCCCTCTCTCTGGGCAGGGAAAATGTTGTTCCACCTGTCACAATGAGCACACTCTATGTTGTGAGCCTGAGCCACCAGGAAGGAAGGAAGGACAGACATAATCCTTTCCATCTCAGCTGTGCAGTGCTGCTGCAGTCAGTGCTGCTACCTGTGAGCACCTCGCACCTTTATTAACCAGTTTAGGTCATTAGAACAGCCAAAAGCTAAAGACTTCATCATTCAGAAGGATTAACAAGCTTTGTACTGGTTCCACTGGCCCTGGAAGAGCAATCAGAAGTGGCTTCTGTCTTGAACTGGCCCAACACAAATCAGACCAAGTGCACTACCAGTAAAAGGAAGGAGATGGAGACGAGTGTAAGAGGAAAATGAAAGCTCTCAGCATACCATGTAAAACAACAAACACAATCACAGGAGCTGGCCTGATCAGGTAAAGAGATGCAATTAACACAAGGCTGTAATGAGCAAAGCCTCTCCAGCACCACAGCAACGCCATGCTCGAAGGAGATACCTGTCCCTAACCATATTGTTTGCACGCCCAAACCCACAACAATCCTAAAGTCGTGTCTGGAGTCAGCTGAGACCAGCAGCTACAGGCGGGAGTAACGCTTCGACCAAACTCGGTCAGTTTATCCAGGTACTTCCTAACATTCACACCTGTAGCACATGTTACCAACACTATATGGTTCCCAGAGTGGTAACCACATATAGATCGGCCCAGTTAAAACCACCAACAACCCCCTGGAGCCTACTTGACTCCACACAGAGAGCTCAGACACAAACGCAGACCCACTCGCACAGGGCCGGACCAGGCCGGGCTGGGGCCTGCACGCACTGGCCAGCAGCCACCTTCCCTTCCCCTCCCCTCCCTTTCCT